CCACTCAGAGGGTCCAAGCAGTGGCAAGCAATACACCAAACAAACGCTGGGTGCTAAGTTAAGGCATACAGTGGTTGACAAAGGGCTCGGTAAACGTGCGTCCAAGTAGCCCAGTAATAAGACTAATATAGGACTTAACATTCCCACATCAGTGGTGGTGGTACCGCTTGCGCGCTTCCACAACCTGCAAGAGTTTAATGGGCTTAGGGTCAATGTGGATGCAACAATCGGCTTAAGCAGACTTACATCTTCATCGCCGTACCACCAGAGCTCCTTGGATAGCGGGGTGCGAGTGTACGGCAGATGCTCTTCCTCACCCACAATTAGCACTTTGGCATCCGCATCACGTGCCCGAATTGCAAGCGCAGCATAATAGGAGGCTGTACCAGAGCCGACCAGAAGATAAGGTATCTGTTCGGGCAGCTTGTTCGGATCCTGCGCGGTGGACCGTTTCCCCGTCGCTTCTTCTGGCTGAGCTGCAGGATCTCTTGCAACCGCACGCTCTTTTCTGTTCACAGCCGAGTGTTCAACCTCAGTAAATGCCCCATCTCCCTCACTGCTTTCCGGTGACTCCTAAAATAAGGCAATTATTCCGTTGGTTTGGCTCTGTTCGTGTCCCTGAGATAGCACTGGTTGCAAAAATCGCTTTCAGGCCAACACAGATCGCATTTTTCGCCTTGGAAAAGGCCAGTTTCTCTGCTGCTCTTTGCTGCTCCCCGTAAGGTACTACATAATGCAAAGCTCTGCCCCGTTGCCCAATACAAATCGCATTTTTCGATTGGAAAATACCGCTGTGATTAAGAACAGGCATTCCAAAGCTTTATCTGTGAGCAAAGCACAATAAGCAGCAGTAAGCAAACAGCACTGAGTTGAGATGAGGAAGTATGAGCAGCCTAGACAGTAAAACTAAGTAATACAGCAGTACACCGAGGTAGAACAGAGCACCGTGAAGGCGTTGAACGCCAGTCACCGGATCCTGAAAGTAAACGCTCTAAAGCTAGCCTGCAAAACACACACGGCCCACTCCAGCTGGATCACTTCCTGAAAATTTGGGCATGCTATACGTGAATAACCAAATTTCAGAAGTCGCGAATCAAAACCACTTCGACCAATCCTCGGTTTTAAAGAGAAACCGAAAAGCCCTCAGCTATGCTTCAGTGGATCCAGCCTAGTCGGCTGAGTTCTAAAAATGGGCTATAGCCCCCAGCTTAATTCCTACCCAACCTTCTTCAACTATCTGAATTCAGATACAGTTTTGATCAAACCTCGGAAACTCTCCTCGAAATACTGTACAACATGGTTAGTCAAGTTACAAAAAGTGTCGTGGTGGAGAGCCTGGATACGAGGACAGCAAATTTCAGAGCTCCGATTTACAGGAAGTAAGAATCCACCAGGCAAGCGTTAAAAGCAAACACAGCATGGTTAGGTAAGCTTCAAAGAGCATTCCAAAGATGAGCTCGGCATGACAAACCAAGCTTTCAGGGGCGGCTTCAAAGAAAATCGACCAAGAAATGCCTCCACCGTTACTTTCATGTCCGGTAAGTCCTCAAAAAAGTGACTAGCCATGGGCAGCCCTATGTGATCAGTCACGTGTGTTTCAGTTTTGCAGGCTGTCACTAGCGCACAAAATGCAGGGGCATACATCAACGGGACAAGGCTAGTCAAGCGATGATTTCGCCAAAAAAAAAAAAGAACCGGAAAGCAGAGGAGCTGGAATGTCTACCATTACTATCATCATCATCATCACTACTATTAGGAAGAACAAAGGGAAGAGCAGCATAGTTCCTGGCAGCGATGCTGGCGGCGATTCGTCAACAAACAGCACCCACTAATACTTCACCTTTTTGTTCTCCTCAATAGCCAGGGTGGTCCCTGCTGCTGCTGCTGCTGCCGCTGCAGCCCCTGCTTTGTTGCCACCATCCCCTGACGGCTTTTTACCCTTATGTCGATCTCTGTATGATTTGACAGGCATTCGGGCATCGTACATCCAAAGGTCCTCAACCACAAATGCCTGAAAAAAAAAACATACATGACTTGCAGCTGAATGCACTCCGAAACACTTGGCTAATTACGTAATTTTGATCAACAAAATGAGAGTTAACACACACATACATACGCATTCATACACACACACACACA